TGAAGACCCCCCACCCCCAGATTCCCTCCCAGCCCCTTTTCCCTGCCCCAAACCCCCTCCCCACCTCTTTCCTCCCTCTTGTGGGGGTCCCCCCTCCCTGGGGGGGTGTCGGGTGACCCCCGTGTCGCCCCCCCAGGGTGGCCCAGGCCTACGTGAACCAGCGCAAACTGGACCAGGAGGTGAAGACGCTGCAGGTGCAGGCGGCCCAGTTCGCTCGCCAGACCGGCCACTGGATCTCCATGGTGGAGAATTTCAACCAGGCCCTCAAGGTGGGGGTCCCAGCCCCCCCAAAAAACACACCCTGGGGAGGGGGCGCTCGGGGATCCTCGGGGAAAGGGGCAGGAGAAGCCGGGAGGGGAGCAGGTGGGGTACGGGGAGCGCTGGGGGGGGGGAATGGGGGAGGAATGAAGACCCCAGACCCATATGGGGAGGGATGAAGACCCCAGACCCATATGGGGAGGAATGAAGCCCCCAGACCCATATGGGGAGGGAGATTTGGCTCCCAGACCCAGGGGAGGGATGAAGCCCCCAGACCCATATGGGGAGGGAGATTTGGCTCCCAGATCTATGGGAGAGGGAATGAAGCCCCCAGACCCATATGGGGAGGAATGAAGCCCCCAGACCCATATGGGGGAGGGAATGAAGCCCCCAGACCCATATGGGGAGGGAGATTTGGCTCCCAGATCTATGGAGGAGGGAATGAAGCCCCCAGACCCAGGGGAGGAATGAAGCCCCCAGACCCATATGGGGAGGGAATGAAGCCCCCAGACCCATATAGGGGAGAATTTGGTCCCCAGATCGTGAAGGGTGAAATGAAGCCCCCAGACCCATGAATGGAGGAAGGGATGAAGCCCCCAGACCCACGAATGGAGAAGGGGATGAAGCCCCCAACCCCCTGCGTTTGTGCTGGAGTGGTTGGGGAGCACCCAGGGGGTTCCAGGGGGTTCTGAGCAACACCCAGAGGGTCCTGGGCAGCTCTTAGGGGGTCTTGGACCACCCAGGGGGTCCTGAGGAACACCCAGGGGGTCTTGGGCAGCACCCAGAGGGGTCCTGGGCAGCTCTTAGGGGGTCTTGGACCACCCAGGGGGTCCTGAGGAACACCCAGGGGGTCTTGGGCAGCACCCAGAGGGGTCCTGGGGAACATCTTGGGGGTCTCAGGCAGCACCCAGGGGGTCGCAGGGGATCTTGAGGAGCACCCAGGGGGTCCCAGGGATACCCAGAGGGTCTCAGGGGAATGGGATGGGTGGGGGGACCCCCCCCTTGGGATGAGCCCCCTCCCCAAATTCCCGCAGGAGATCGGGGACGTGGAGAACTGGGCACGCAGCATCGAGCTGGACATGAGGACCATTGCCACGGCCCTCGAGTACGTGTACAAGGGGCAGCTGCAGCCCTCCTGCTCCTGAGAGACCCCCGGGAGACCCCCCGGGACCCCCCAGACCCCCCAGGTACCGGGGGGGG